ATGCTTGAATGTACATTAAAATAACTGAATCCCAAATTCAAATATAATATTAGGTATGAATTTTAATATACCTCGGTCTATAGATTCCTTGTAATATGAAATAATTCGCAGCGGAAGATTTTATTATGATGACATAATCTCTCACATTTTTATTAAATACTTAAATTTAATTTTCCATTATAACAGGGTATCTCATAGTCGTATTCTATGAATTCCCTTGTTGTTTTTGTCTTCTGTGCGTTCGTGCGCAAGTTCGAAGTTGCCACAACTAAAAGGATGGGCTTAGATGCAAGGGGCATACATGAAAAGTAGCTTAACATTAGACAGGACGACATACGACACTTGTCGGGCAGTTTGGTGCCTTTCGCATTCCTCCCCCTGCAGCTGAAGTCCTCATTGACAGGCACCGGGTGTGACCCACGGGGAGGAGGCAGAAAAGGCGGAATCCGGGGAGTGCTAGTGATATAGATAGATAGATAGATAGAGATAGAGTGCTGACCTAGTCTTCGTTTTGCCTCCCTGCGTATATTTCAGTGTGTCCCCGTGTCCCTGTGTCATGTGTCCTGTGTCCTGCATCGAATGTAAGCTTCTTCAGATGGCGTTCCTCTCCGAAACCTCCATTACCCTCATTGGTGCATTTGTGATTCGATTTGATTTGGCTGAATGGATAGATTATGGTTCTCATATATACATACAACTGAATGTTTGTGTATCATAAAACTAGGTTACTTGGAGATTGAGATCGCATAGATGCGTAATGCGATAAAGGATGTAGAAAAAAACGAAGCTATTTTGTGAAGAGTGCACCTCCAATTTATATTTTCATATTAATGTGCGCTATAATTCGTTCTAATCAAAGTCTTTTTAAAAAAACTTAATATCATTACAAAGGGGAGACAACACTTATATTTACTTTTGAGAAATAGTTTCAAAAACCAGAGTACTTTATGGTTTTATTTGATGTTAATGCGATTTGTATCTCGGGTGAATGATGGTTTCTATCCGCACAAAAACCACTTCAGATGTATCCAATTAGGTTGAGAGCAAACAAATGCCTAAGCCAATTGAGCGAATCTTTGCCCCACTAATTAGCGGTTTTTTTAACCAACAACCGGAAGGGGGTTTTAAAGTCCTTCCGCGAAACGTTATATATAGTTATTTCCAATAGGGTTTGCGTGTATCTGCCGGATGAACGGTAGCGGAAAGTTTTTCTTTATTCAACAATGACAAAAAGACAATGGATAAACTTTGCAATTCCTGTTTTTTGTACAAGAGAAAATGTTGCAAACAAAAAAATGAGGAAATAGAGAGCAGAAAGAAATAGATATTGGTCAGACAACTTATAAAACTTTTCGTGGCATTCAAAAAGCGTCGAGCACCGAATGCTGTTTTCACCTGTCTGCATAAAAATAAAAAAAATGACAGTATATAAATATTTAAAACGTGAAAAAATACACCTGTATAAATGGCAAAGCAAACTGAAAATAATACAAACTAATTGCCAGCCAAATAAAGTTTATTTATCGAAAGACTGTTATAACGTACATAACATTTTTTTCGTTTACACTTTTCTTCGACTTTCGTTTAAACTTTTTCAGCATTTGCCGAAAAATCCCGTAACGAACTTTCTGCAAATTGTGCGATTTGTTTTTTTTTTTTTTCGGCGCCCATTTGAAACTCAATTTTGGTTGGGATTAACGTTGATGTGGTATAAAATAGGAAAAGGCAAAGTTTTAACTCTACAAGTTTCAGCTGGATTTGGTCAGTTGAAAGATCAGGAAGATAATTTTGAAGAGAGTATATATCCCCAGGAAAACTTGTTACAGTCAGCTCAGGATTAGTGTTTACAGTCAGAGTTCTTTCCTGCTAAGTTTGAATCCAACAATCGTTTGAAAGGGGATTATTTTGGCACACAATTATTAACCAAGTTAAGCTAGATTTTAATAAAACTAATAAAGGAAGAGTAATTTTATAACATGTTTTTTAATTAAATTATCTAAATACTTAATAGTTACTAAAAAGATTAAGATATCAACGATTAGTGTTTCCTTGGCTATCTAAATCACCTTAAATTATGTTGTTTTCGTTGCCCCCTTTGGAAATACTTTTATTAGCGAACAGATTTCCCAACATAAATTATCAACTTGCCCAGGACATGGGATGGAGTTCCAGTTTGCCAGCCATTTGCTTTTGGCCTCTCGCCCATCAAAGGGGGTGAACCCTTGACCTCCGCTCCGTCCCACCGCCTGACTCGTGACCTTTTTGGCAGCATTAAAAGTGATAATTTTCTCTCACACATACATATAGGAAGGGGAAAACCGGAGTGTGAGAGCCACATGGAAGACTTTTATTATTTAATTTCGCTCGACTTGTGCTAATAAATTTAACTCAGCACAAGGAAAAACCCGGTTTCGCCTTGATTTTAAGTTAAATGAACAAAATATAACACATACGATAGAAAACTTAAACTTTTCAGAGGGGATTAAATGCCAAGAGTTTCCCTTTCGCTCCATTGTTTTGTGACTTTCAATTGGATTTCGTCATTGCCAATAAAAATCAGTTAAATGTTAAGCCAGAGCAAGAGATAAAGCGAATGCGAAAAGCTGGCTTAAAATTGTTTTGATTCAATTATTTCATCAGGCATATATGGTAGGGGAAAATGTTATCTAAATTACATTTCAGAGAAAAAGTATGGTAAAATATTAAAAAAGAGAATATAAATTTTAAGACAGATATTATCTAAAAACAACACAATGCTTTATACACTTTACAGTATTTTATAGACGTATCCTAGAGTTCCCTTTTATTTAAAGTGTAACGAATGGTATTATTCTATTTTTTAAATTAAGCTGTTAATCTTATTGGAAAGAAAGAGAAATACAGACGGAGTAATACCACACTCACTTACGCTTTGGCAAATTTACATAATAAATCTATTTTCAATGGATTCCCTTTTTCTTATCCATCTCATTTTTTTTCCGCTAAAGAAACTTATCTCCGGCATGCTTTGCCTTTGCACATTCTATTTTCGAATCAATGGAAGCATTATTATACATCAGTCTGCCCCCATTCTGCTACATATCCCTTCTGTCTCGGAATTTTCTTTTATTCCTGCTGCTGCAACTCTGCGAATATTTGGTTAACAACGGATGCGGATGTGCGGATGGAGGCCATGTGTGTGTGTGGGTGCCAGCGCCATATTTGTTTCGCATAAAGATGGCGGAAACTATCTCAGCATGTATGAGTAAATATGTATGTATATGTGGAATGAATACAAAAGTCTTAAAGGGCATAAAAGCTCTTTATTATATTATAAATATATTAATATAAATAAAACTCCATCCCAAAACAAAACCACTACTCCATATAATTTTTATAATTGTTGTAACTTTATTATTACTTAAATTTCCATTTTATCTTTAGGGTTTTTTCAATTTTGTTCACACCACCTTTGTTGATATAAACCTTTAAATCAATTTTTGTGATTTTCCCTCATTTATTTGTTTGTTTATTACTGATTTTCACTATATTCCATTTAGTTAGAATTTGTTAATGCTAAATCTTTCTTTCGCACACATGTTCTAACGCAATAGGGTTTCATGAGTTTTCGTTTTAATTGTATCCTTTTTTTTGGGGGGGGCCAGTAATGCAGCACTCTATATATTATTTATATATATATATATATTTGTGGTATTAATTTGCTAATTATGCTAAGTTTACACCAGTACATTAATACATAGATTTATATTTTTAGATGTGTGTGTGTGTGAAGCTATAGACTTATACATTTTCAATTCGGTTGTAATTTGTTTCAGTTTTTCATTATAGTTTCACTGCCGCTAAATGTGTTTATATAATTTACAAATATTTTTCATAAGCGCCATTAAATTGTTTGCAATTTTCGCGCTGTTTCACTTTAATGAGCAGTTCCATTGCTTAATTTTCCTATCATGTTTTTATTTTCCCGCATATCATTTCCATTTTAATTACAATTTTGGGCAACTGTTTGTTTGCATTTGTGTAATTCGAAACAAAAAATAAAAATAAAAGAAAACGTACGGAATACAGAAATGACGAAAATTATGATGTTACTGCTCATTTCAATTGCCCCGCTTAACTCCTAATGGAATTTTTAACTAAGTATCTTGCGGTTTGAAATTTTTATAGCTATATAAAGGGCTTACCTCGGCTTTGTTTTGTTTCTTTTTTTTTATGCTGGCTTATACGTATATGCATTTAATTTTAATAGCTATATAAATATTTATTTAGTTACATAACAAAGTAGCTGCATGCTTACAATTAACAGTTTAATTTAATTTTGCTCTCGCTTGTTTTTCTGTCTGACCAAAGTTTAGTTTACGTTTTAGTTTGAGTTCATGTGTTGTTCTATTGTGTTGCTGGGGTAGTTGTACACTTTTGTTTGTCTTTTTATTTTTTTTTTTACAAATAACCTGCCAAAACTTAAAGGAAAAGCTCCCTTTTCACCTGTACATGATTTGATTTAACTTGTTCTTTGGCTAAAAACTGTTTTCTCATCCCGTATTTATTCGTTTGGAAATTATTTATATGGGAGCTTTGTTGTACAAGTATATATATATATTTTACTTTTAATTCTGCCACTAGTTTATTTACACACAATACACAATTATAATTCAGTCTTTGGAAGAATAACATTCATGTTCATTTTTGTTTTTCACGCATTTATAATTCTCGTAGTTTTTCCTATTTTCTTGTCTAATAGAATGCATTTTATACTAATGCCAACAGAGGGGGAGAGATGAAAACGTCTTTGTAACGTGGAAGTGTATATATTTTTTATTGGTCCTAATTAGTTTTTGAAATCTAAAATGAATTTGAACTGAGGAATTTCTAATATTAAAATGTATGTCTTAGAGAATCAGTAAGAAATAAATAATATTACTATTTGCAACAAAGTAAAAACATATTTTCTATGCAATACCAATCGGCTTAAAATAAATTCATTATTTATAAAGAAATGCCAAACTATATTTAGTGTACAGTTTTCCTGCTTAGTTTCAGTTAAGTTAACTCTTCTTGATAATGAGTTCGACAACAATCTACACTTAGTTAACTATTTACAGGGTAATTCTTGAAAAACCAACTAGCAACAGAGTTTGAAGATGGAGCAGCTTCTGTGTATATTGGATAGACACAGCTCTGGCTCCCTGCACTCACTTACACATCTATATATGGAAACAGCATGGGAAAGGGGATTTAGGACTAAGAGGATCGGGGATGGGACATTAAGGACACTGTGCGTTTAGAGGTCGCATTTAAAACGCACGGTCAATTAATGTCACACACGCAACTCGTCCATCAGCGGATGTTGCTGCTGCTGTTGCTGCTGCTGCTGCTGCTGGTGTTGCTGCTGCTGCTGCTGCTGGTGTTGCTGGTGCTGCGTTGTGGTGGCAACAATAACCGGCACTGTAGGCGGCGTAGGCACAACCAGGCCACCGGCCGTGGTCAGCACAGTGGTCATGCTTTGATTATGATGATTCTGCAAATGCTGCTGGTGGGTAACCACATGTTGCTGCTGTTGCTGCTGCTGCTGCTGTTGTGCGGGCGAATGCTGCTGGGCCTGTGCCTGCTGGGTCTGCTTCATGCAGCTCTTTTTTGTCAGTGTGCCACACTGGTTGCCCATTACCTGCAGTGCGTGGGGCGGTGGCATTTGGACCACACCGGAAACACCCACGGCACCGCTTACCGACCCACCGCCGCCGGGATCCTGCAGGGACTTCATGTGCTTCGGCGGCGGTGGTGCCCGGTGGGGAATGTCCGCGAATTCCGGTGGCGGAAGTTGATGGTGCTGCATGGCATGGTGGTGCGATAGTATGGTGGCTGGATCGCTCTTGGCATGAATGGTCAGGGTCTCCAGGTCACCGCAAATGTTGTTCGGCATTTGTCCGTTCTCTTGCCTCTTCAGCTTGGTCTGTGGTCGCGGCTCACTCAGTCGGGTCTTGTCCCTTTGATAGTACACACCCGCAAAGATGAGAACATTCAGGATGAGCAGGGAACATCCAATGGCTATGGTCACACTCAGGGCAGTGGAATAGGCCGCAAAGCCATCATTGTCCTGTGAAGCACTGGCGGCACCACCACCTCCTCCATGATCACCATCCATCATATCATCTGGATATATCTTGGCGCCACCATAACGAGTGCCATTTCTCTGGAGCGAGGATGAGGGAGAACTTAGGTTCAGTAGGGAGAAAACTTGGTTGGTGAAGATCGTGAAATTTCCCATGGCCGCTGCATTGGCAGCCCGTGAAGAGTAAGGCGGATTGAGTGGCTTCACGGAGGCATCATTGGGTATGTTGTTGTCCTCATCGTCATCATCCCGCAGCTGGTGGTGAGCAGCCGGCACATTGTCGCCACCAGGCTTGTGCAGATCCGGGATGAGGTTCAGCCAGAAGGAGAGGCGATGTGCTCGATAGTGGTTCTTTAGTTTTGGTTTGGTATCTGAAGGAGAAATATTATAGAAAAGGGATAACCCATGAATATACTATCATTAAAATTAACTGAAATTAAGCTTAGTTATGATTGATTTTCATTCAATCCCATTATCCAATCGCAAAATTCAAGGATTTAAAAACTTTGTCTTCTTAAATTTAGCTTCCTTTGTGGTTTAATTTAATATCTATATTATTTTGTTTATTTAAGTACAATTCTCACCGAAATTAAGGTATTTCTTGTGTACACTCTCGTAGGCTGTCCACTCGATGGTCTTGTAGCGACTTCGCTCTTGACGACTGCCATGCTCAGCCTCCATTTGCTCATTGGGATTGCTGCAAAATGTTAATAGTACGAGTTTAATGAAAAGCGAAATTAATCATATGCACTGTGTTAAAAATCATGTCTTATATTTTTAAAATTCACTAATTTCATTAATTAATAATGTGTATATGGCTCTCAAGTCCACTTACCCAGTTCGCACAAAGTTGGACCAGTAGAACATCACGACTTCCGATAGACTGATTTCGGTTTTCGTGTAGTTGCGCGTAAAGTGATTGAAACCGCCAACGAGTGGTGCACCAAAGATATAGGGCAGGTCCTCGCCGTGAATGCAACCCTGGCGCTGCAAAATGCCAGATAACCAGAAACTAAATTAACGCACACATCATCCCCTCAACTCTGATCCCGATATATGTATTAATGCGTTAACCTCACTCTGCCCACAGTCTGCCATTACAAGTGGAGTGCATGGAGCTAACAACTTAGCCAGCTATTCAATTTAGATATTTGGATTGAGGGTTTTGACGAAGGCTCCCATATAGAGAGTTGCCTCGGAAATGCTAATTAATTTAGGTCAAGGAGTAAGTCGATAAGGAGAATAGATAACTTCAGTTTCAATTAACTCTTAGAAGTCAAAGCATCAATAGGTAGCCCTTTAGTAAGAATATGGTTCTAGGTCATGTATTGCATATTAAACTCCTGAATAGCCTTAAATCTATATTTACTAAGGTAAGATTTAAGACAAGAATTAGACCTTTATACAAGCTTAGAAGTCAGTGTTTAAATTGCTTTAAAATAATTGTACAAGATTAGTATCAGAATCCACTTTTATTATTCTTTTTTGCTTCTCTTATTTCAGTAAAAATATTTGGAAATATTTATTAAAAAATTGTTTAAATTTCTATATCTATCTATGTACAATTTATAGAAAATTCTCAAAGAAACCCACCTGAGGATAATCGCCAAAACGTGTCTGATAGTCAAACACATACAGATACGAGTTGCGATGATCTGCCGAATGCAAATCCACTGTTTGTGCCGCCGGTGCCACAACCTGAGCATCGCTCAGTGCCTCCAGTGTTTCGTCCCTGCAAATAGGGGGAAAAAACAGGAACAACATTAAAATCAAATAACAATTTTTCAATATTTTTGCCTCCCTTGCAGTTCCCTTGCAATTTTCCGGCTATTTTGCCAATGCTCTTCGCCAATCGAGCTGTGTTCAAGTGCGCAACTAACAAGCCACTTTGAGTGCTGCCACTTTCGTTGATGTGGCTCGTATTTACCTGTTTACCAAGTGGCGTCCCCAACGCTGGCCTAAGCCTATTTCAGGGGTTTCATCCTGCAATATTTTCCCATTTTTTTCTCTTATTTCTGTCTGCTTTTTTATATATCTATTTTTTCTGTAGTTTGTTTAGCATTCGAAATGCACTAGCGTAAAATTTGAATAAAACCCATTTGGCGCATTTGCATACATATCTTTTCAATGCAGCAAAGATGGATCCAGTAGCAGGAGTTGCATGGAAAATGGGATCAGCTGTGCCCCATTAAAGGTTTAAAGTAAAGCGAGCTTAGAGCTTTGGAGTTAAAATACCTAAGATCTTTAAATGTTAATTTAGTATTTATCAATAGCTAAGATTAATATGGCAACTGCTTTGTATTTCTGAGAAAGATGGCAAACTTTGCCTTACTTTATTCCCTTCACCTGCTTTTCCCCACCTGCAATCAAGGCTTTTCTCCAGGAAAAGTCGGCCCGTGTCGCAGGTGGAGCGTGAAACGTTTGTCGTGCTTCATTGCATGCAACTTGACGCACGTTCGCACAACTCCGGTGGCATGAGACTGTGAAAGGAAATATTAAGTATACGCCACGCGTTGCACTCGGGAAATCAATTTGTTTGGGATATTTCTTTGGAAATATGGAAATGTAATTTGGCATAAATTATGCAAACAGTAATAAATTGTTTGCCAAAAATTTCAATACATTCGATACGAATGCAGCAGTGCCGGCGGCAGTGTCACTTTGACCCAATCGCTAACATAAATATTGATGGAAATCGAGAAAAGCAATGGCAAATCACACATTAGATTGGTTTTAGCATTCGAGCAATTTCCATATCACTTATACGAACCGTTTTACGGAGCAAAATTGCAACCGAGCATTATTTATGAAGAGTGACAGGCTGGAGCACAGCGAATGGACAAAAATTTGCATTTCATTTGCCATAAGATTGAAATCAAGATTCATTTAAGCCGCTTTAATTGAAACCTGCTCGGGAATGGAGCACCGGAGCCAGAGATCGGGAGCATGCCATTGCGCATTTAATTAAGAACGAAATATTTATTTGGCACACACAACCCGTACTCTGCAACTCCTCCAAAAACCCCTCTCCCCTTTTCCGGATCCGGATCCGCATCCGCAGGTGGAGTCTCGGGTTCGTGGGGCTCGCATACAAACGCAATTACTCACCGGATATTAATTGGATGCTGGACGGGCCTCTCCCAATCCGTATACTCATTGACAATCGTTGCGAATATCTCGTTCAAATGGAACGTGTACGTGTTGCGTACGTAGGCCTTTAAAATTCTCGACCGTCGATCCGCCTCGATGCCATATTGCACGTCGCCCGAATTGAAGCTGAAAAAGGCCTCCGCACGTGTCACGCCGGCCATCAGGTCGTATCTGCAAAAATGTGAATGAGGAATCAATGGAAAGCACTCGAAAAAATGATGATAATACGCGGCAATTTATACTTATTAAATATTTATGATAATCAAGTATAAATCATATCAAAATAAGTAGAATTCAGAGAGGTAATCGTAGGATTTTATTCCCTAAATTAAAAATTATTAACTCAATTCACAAATGCATTTTGTAAAACTTTTTTTGCAATTCATTAACTTTATTTTAATCATAAATGAAATATAAAACATATCAAAATAAGGTATTATCGTGGCACTTAAATTCTTAAATGAAATATTATTAGCCCAAAACACAGATACCTTTTGTAAACCCTTTTTGCATATCATAAACTTTGTTTTAACCATACATCTTGCCTGAATATCCAATAACTTCCTGTTAAAGACCAAATTCATGTCCCACATTATTTCTTTTGGTGTATATTCTTCCCCGTTTTAAGTGTGAGGTGTCAATGTCTCTCTTTGGCCAAAGATGAGGCACCTTCGATAAGTTGAATCCACCTGAAATGTTGATTGAGGGGTGATTGGGATTGCCCAAAAATGCAGATTAACTTTACACAGCATAAGGGGAAAATTAAACAAGTGCCCCTTTTTGGTATAAATAAATTATGCTTTTGCAATTACAAAATTTCGTAACCAACAAATTGCATTCCTCAAGCGTAAATTTACATTTATCTGCTCTGCCACAATAATTTAACCCCCAAAAAACTTTGGCTCCATCCATTTGTTAAACAAGTTGAACTGACCCTTGCTGCTAACCGCACTCTTGGTAGATATAAAACTTGGAAGCAGCTCTTGGCCGAGGAAGAAAGTATCTCTCAGCCGGTGGCCATCGCATCAAGTTGCAGCATTTGCAATTTTAGATTTATTTTTACCCTATTTGCTTACGCACTGAGTCTGAGATAGAGATAGATACCAGTAGATGCTTGGGTTGAAAGTTTTGCGTTTTATATATTTGGTAAATTTTATTTGCTCTCTGTGCATCATGTGTTTAATGGAATTCCTTTGGACATGCAACCCAGAGTGTGTGTGTGCGAGTGCACAAAATTGCTTTTAAATGTGCACAAAGAAATATTTATACTCCTTTGGGAGCGAGACCGACTAATAGCCCCCAGGGCATTGACAGTTTACAAAGCGCACCGAAGATAAATTCATGTTAGACCAACAATGCAACTCAAAGGCAGGACATCAAAGTGCTGCAATTTTACAGCACAAAAAGAGTTCTCATTAACTATTGACTGTGCGTTTGATTGGTTGGGATTGCAATTCTGGGTTAATTATCAATTCAATTGCAGTACGCTTTAGTGCTTGACTTCAATTGCAGTTGGATAGTGATGGTAGAGTTTTGTGGGGTACTAGTACTTTAATTATAAAGTGAAATAATCATTTTACCTTTTTTAAATATTATTTAACTCAGAAAATGATTAATATTTTATAAGACAGTTTTGTTCTTTTAATTTTCTGTATACTATATACATTTAAAAATACATTTAGATAATCCTGTTTACTTTCCCATCCCTAAACCTTGTTGAGTGGGCTCAACGCTAAGGCTTCACATCAATTATGAAATCGCAGCTAATTAGCTGTTAATAATATATATTAACATTGTAAAATGGCTTAGACACAAAGTGCATAAATCAAGTGGGCCACCAATCCACCCATTGTAATTCACAGGAGCCACAATGGCCAACTGTGAGTTGGGTTTGTAACGAAATGAAGCCCAACATTTGCGTGCCTAATGTGCATAAATTAATTATACTCTATGCAAGTGTGCGGGAAAATCTGTTACCGGTCCGAAGGGTAAATCTTATCGCTGGCTAAAACCAGCGGCTGTTAGTGGGTTCGTGCCATGGCAAAAAGTCAAGATAAAACTCTTTTGACACCTAACAAAGCAGGCACAAACTTGCCAAAAGAAGTCGAAAACTTTAGATTAATTAAGGTCCATACTGGGCTTACAGAATAAGATCCTGCACAGGAAAAAATTCTTAGGGATTTAATAAGTTTCTTGTTCTTAAGAGGAATAATCATAAATTAAGCATTATAAAATAATAAGTCAAAATAAAGAAGTTTAAATAAAAATGCTTATTTATGTACATAGAAGTGTAAAGCTTAACTTAATGCAAAATATAATCGATAGTTCTATATTTTTGTGTATGTTTTTAACATACATATGTGTATGTTTTTGGGGCGTGAGAGTTAAGGTAAAAATAATTAAGCATTTGCTCGCCTGGCCCAACTTACCTTGACAACTTGTTAATGGCAGTTTTTCTCATTAATACTGCATTAATTAAAAAGTCCGCCGCATGTGTTCGTTCATGTGGACAGGTGTGTGTGAGGTAACAAGTGGCCGCCATCATCATCATGAACATCAACATCATTATCGTCGACATCAGAAGCAATTTGGAGTCGCGTTGATGAAATTTAAGAGAGGGGAGTGAGAGAAGTGAGAAAACATTGCATTATAACTTATTTTAATTATTCAAAGAAAATGAAAGAAATTTTCGTGGCAAAGTGAACAAAAAACGCAACCAAATGCACTAAAAATAATTTTTAATGAATTTAATTAACTTTCTCGACACGTTTTTATAAGCGAAAGTAATCAAAAATAATGTTTTAAATGTTTTGAATATTTTAAGCTAAAGAGTTCTTGTTGAATATATTTTTAATGGAGTTAAAAAACAAAAGTATTTATTTGCTTTGTGGAAAGTTTGAGCAAGAATTTTGCAAAGAATCTTTAAAATAATTTGATTTAATACGTTTTTTTTTTTGTTATTTACACAGATTAATATTTGAATTATTAAATAAATAAACTTTCTTATTAGATAATTGCCATGTTTAAGGGTATCTTTAGTGACTTAATAACTCACCAATATTCTCTAGTTGTCCGGGCGTTCCCCATCCTCCGGCAGCTGCAATTCCCGCCTCTCCGCCGAGTCCATTACCCGCCGCCGTCGATGCCTGGGCCTGAGCTTGGGCAGCCGGTGACCCGGGAGCAGGTGGCACATAATCCCCGCCATCGATGACCACACCATCGATGCTGGGACCAAAGGCAAAACCAAATTCCGGCTGGCGAATGGGAACGCTAAGTAGTTGCTCCAGTGTCTTCTCTCTCAGACACTTCATGAGGTGGGCATGAGGAAGATCGGAGGCGCAATTGACATGATGGGCCACAATGGCCGCATACTTGGCCGGATTGCTGACCAGCGACCAGGGAGCCAGGCCAGAGCCGGACATCAGGATGGCGCGATTGAAGAGCAGGCCTTATGGGGAGGAAAATACAGAGAAAAATATGACACCAGTTTCACGAAAGGCAGTTTTTTTAAGTATATAGAATGCATTATGTGTTGGCTTTTCACACATTCAAGAAAGATTTTTTCATCTCCTCATAAGTTGCCAGTTTTATTCTTTTCATGGCCAATAAGATGTGGAATTGTGATGTCAGTGCACAGGCTCTCGTTTGTCTGGACATACTCACCCTCTGGCACGGCCATCGATGAGATGAGAAAGTGCACACAGGCCGCCCCGGTTCCATGGCCAGCCAATGTGATGCTATTCGGATCCCCGCCGAAGGCCTCGATGTTCTCCTTGAGCCAGTGCAGCGCCGCTATAATGTCCATCAGGCCGTAATTGGCCGGCAGCTTCGAGTAGCGGTCCGTGTTGGCGTTCAAGAAGCCTGCAAATAGTCAAGGCAAGCGATCGCCACACTTAATCAGCAGTTTTTCTCGTTGCACGCCCGATTGGCCAGCGAATGGAAATTTAATCGATTCGCCGACCAGTCGTGCGGCCAGTCGGTCAGTCACTCAGTCAGTCAGTCAGTTGGCTGCGCTGCCTATTTAAAATGTCAAACGCAACTCTTTTCTGGCGCTCAAAAATGTGCAAAGTCACGCGTGCAAATCATGATGTCAGCACTTCCGTTTCCTCTGCCACAGCAGCAGCGGCAGCAGAGGCAAAGGCGTCGGCAGCAGGGGATTCGGTTGTTTCACGGGAAAAAAGGGGTCGCCATGAAGAGTGGTTGGCGCCAAATGGGGTCACACTAATTTTGTCGGCGCATTTGAATTTGCACAGTGTTTTTCGGGCAATGCTGCACAGTGGTTTAGGTTTAATTAAACTCTGGTAATGGAAATTCTAGAAAAATATGCAATGAAAAAATATAGTGAGAGGAAAGCCAGGAAATATTCAAGCACCATTTAAAACATTATTTAATTAATAGTAATTAAAAGAATCTAATTTCTTTCAATATATATTAAACAGAACAAGAATAAGCATTGGGCTTATTATTAAGTTCCTATGAGGGAGAATTGATTAGATTTTTATTTGCAACTTCCGTTTCCTGTTCTTTAAAATGCATGCATCACACTGTAACTAAATTAGTTGGATTATGGCATAAATGTATGCCTTGTCGCTGCTGCAGTTGTTACAGCTGCCGTAGTTGTTGTCGGCGGAAGTGCAGTTGATGTTGCAAAAGAGGTTGGCTTAAAGGTTCATATTGAGGGCAAAGGACATGCGGCTAAGAGGGGCGAATTGGCGGCACGTCCGCCTCATTGCGCTGTCCCGCTCACCCGCCTGTCCGACAGTCGGTTCGTTTGTTGGTCGCCCCGCCGCCTTTGGTCATGCACTCGGCATATCAATTAGCATTAGGATGCGAGTGTGCAGAGCACTTACCCAGCACTCCGAGGCGATAATTTATGGTTACCACCAATATTTGTCCATAGCTGGCCAACACGGATCCGTCGTAGGGATTGCCACTATTCCACTCATACGATTCGCCGTGCACAAAGACCAGCACAGGATACTTGGTGGGGCTTCCTCCGTTGCCAGACGATGAAGACGATGAAGACGATGATGATGAGGACGATGAGGAGGAGGACGAACTGCTGCTTCCACTTCCCGATGACGAAGAGGAGGAAGAACTGCCTGAGGAGTCACGCGAACCAACTGCAAGAAATACATAAGAGAAAATATGATTTATTTTGAATATAAATATTAAACTAACCCATGTAAAACTAAGTAAAAAATAAGAAAACATAGGTTAACTAAAAGATTAAAGCGAGTTAAACATAACCATCAGTTAACTTATGTATCTGCATTCTTTCAGTGTAACAGAAGAGCAATAAATGCTAATTGACAGCTGCTCAATTCAGGAAAATTATGGTGGAAAAGTGGATAATGGGAATGCAAAAATTGATTGTCTTTCCGGTGAAAGTCCTGCAGGAATTCCAGTTCCCTTTAAGCCGTTGGCTGAAAGGCCAGAACCATTAATCAAGGCGGTCTAAGGAAATAGGTAAACAGGGCATTAAATCAGGCTTCCTCCATTGACTCGATTCCGGGACAAATGAGCACCAAAGCCTCGAAAATAGGCAAATTAGACGTAAACAACTCTTTTCCCCATCCGTTCCCTGACGAAAGCCCACAGTCATCGATGGCCTACCGTATCCTAATCGCAAAGAACACGTTTCGAAGCTTAAGACATTTTTGTATTGAAAGGTTTGACTTCCTGCCGAGATGGTATACCTTTTTTGCTAAAGTGTCTGGTGTCTGGTAATCCTCTGATATGTATGTGAGTCCTTGAGGAGGCACATTTAAGGCTTAAGTTGGCAAAGTGGTGACTTGCGGAAAGGATAAGTATATTTCTTTTTAAGGAAACTTGACTACTTTATTCCAATTAAACTATACTGAAAATCGTTTCTGTGAAAATTTTCCCTTTAAAAGAAAAGTGATGTCTTAACTTAAAGGCAACTTACCAAGTGAAACTAAACTAACTTCACAACGGAGAACACAAAATCGTTGGGAAAATGCAAACATAAATTTATCTATAGCGAAAGAGGGAAGCTTGTGCAGCTGCATCTTTGGCAGATACATATCGCATGTATCAGGGCACACGCTTCTTGTATCTGAGCTTCTAGTCAACATCAGGCTGACGCTGGGGCCACCCACCCGACCCCCTCAAGCCAAACAAAGGCCACAACAACAAGTGCAACAAAAGCAATATGAGCACGGGTTTCTCGCCTGCTGCCCACATAGAAAGTTCGCTCCTGGAACAAAAGGACCTGCTTATCAAAGCGGAAAAAGAGTTGAGGCGCAGAAGGGCTTGGAAAATGGGAAAGGGGGAAGGAAAACCGGGGAGGGGCGATGGTTCTGTTAGCGAGAGTTAGAAGAAGTGGAGAAACGAGCGCCGCATAAAGGCCAAAGGAGGAAAGCAAGTTACTGTGTCAGTGACTTTTATAAATAGCGCGAACAAAGACTGACTCGTGGCACGTGTGTGTGGGAATGGAGCGGCGGTTGGGGATGTGCACCGCATATAGATATAGATATTCATTCAGTTCTGGCCAAAAACCCAAGCAAGAATGGGGCTATGTGTGTTAGCGTGTCACCAAATGGAACCCAATGTCAATATCTGTGGAAAATCTTCGCGCCTTCAAGTCTCAAAATGGTGTCAAAATTCTAACATAGTTCAGTGGATACGCTTAAAGATACCACAACTTTCCATGTAACAAGAGGGAAATACCAGGCATGCAAATAATTTGCTAATTGAGAACAGAGCAGTTTAGTTTTAGAAAATTACATGGCATAATTGCCCTAAAATATGTATATTAATTCTTATGGAACTTCTTAACTGCAACAACCTATAAATTCCTAGTTGGCCGCAAAATATTTCGCCTTTTCCCCCAGTCATTACAGTAATTTGAGGCCAGAAAGGTCTTTCCCCCTTTCCCACGAAATGCTTGGTAAGGGGGGGAAGCCACGTAACATGCAAACAGCATTTAAAACTTGTCTCCAAAAACTTCCGGACACCCGCACAAAAACCCCGGCCAGAAAACTTTTGTTGTCATTTCAACAAAAATGGCGACATTCCCTGCAAGTTGCAGCCCCCAGGGGATGCTACTTACAACAGCCAGAGCAAAAGGAATTAAACTTTTATGACTGCCCCCAAGAAGAAGTCACTACATACATATAAATGCACTGAAAATAAAATTAAAATCAAGGAAAAGAGGGTTTAATTGAAGGAAAATCTTATGGATATGAGATATTTTTGATTTAGCTAGAATTTTAAAGCTTTATTAAATGTGTTTTCTTACTATATAGTATATATACGTATATATAAGACCTTTAACATTTAAAAACTTATTGGGAATTTAGAAGTAAACTTATTTGTATTTTAATACAAAAATAATGACAATTTTAGTCAGAAGTTTGCATTTCTGACCCTATAAACCATATATATTATTGATCAGTATCAACAGCTGAGATCTTTTTTTGTCCTTCAAAAATGTATTTATTAAAATTTAAAAAATTTTATTCAATGGAAACTTTATTAAAATTGTCAAAAATTTATTAAATTAAGAAAAATTTTCAAACCTTAAACTCATTATATAGATTTGTTAACTTCAAAAAAACTAAACAAAGCTTTCCGAATCGAAATTAATGTATTTTTGGCTATGATTATATGAATTAAACTACAAAGGTAAAGAAACCTTGGCTTTCCTTAGTTAACATATATTTTCACTTTTGAAAGATGTATATATATATGCTAATGTTAATGCTATTAAAAATGTATTAAGGTATAAGGGAAACATTACATTTTTGTTGCGAAATTTTCTTTTTTTTTTCTGTTATCTTCCATCAAGTTTAAACAAAACTCTAGAATACAAGTTCAATAGTTTTTCTTCTATAAAAAATCATAATGTTTTCTGTGTTTTTTTTTTTTAATAATAAAACCATAAACAAACTTTATTAACAACTTTAATGTCACTAGTCATTAGACATTAGTCTCTATAAATTCTTGAAATATCATAAACGTAAACTCATTAAAATTATACTTATACTATATTCCCACATTTATTTTCTCTGTTGTTTCAAATTCCAGACAGACACAAGTTTAGCTGTGGGGGGACCCGCCCACAAATGTCTTGCCTTAAAAAACTTGTACAATAGTTTTTGCTTGCCTGCTCGGCAAGAAGTTTTGCTCCGCATAATTTCAGCAAATGTAAATATTTTGTAGGAGCGAGCATACAAATATGTGTTTGTCGGAAAACTAATGCGCCTTTCGGGGCCCCGCAGTCGTCGGGCTTGTTAATAAGTTGAACATGTTTTAATTTACATGCTCACGCTTTTTGCGCCCAACTGCTGAGCTTTAGCCATTTATTTTCAACCGACAAATCACAACTTGGATGTCAACTTTTTGGGGAGAGTCGTCCTTTGCCGCTGGGAGTTTTGCCGTCTTTCGGAGCGGTGTCAACAGTTTTGTGTGTGTTATTTTGACTGGCATAAATTTAATCATATTTGTGGCATGTGGCAAATGTGCGCCTTGCCCCTGCCTCCTCTTTGCCAGCTAATAGCCGACATTTTCCTTGGAAAATGTTACGAAATTCTGGCAGTGTGTCTAACTGGAACTAAAGTGATTGACACTGTTGAGCCAGTGCTCTCGTAAAGAGTTCCCTCATTAAGTCCAAGATAAAAGGATTAGGTATAACTTATTCGGAGTGATTTCCAACGAGAGTTAAATTATTCAAAATAAAATGGAATTATGCAAAATATAGTGCCTTGCAGTGGCTTTAAAATTTCACACTTTGCCAGAGAAAATAATTAAAAATAAAAATATTTTTGTTATTTTTATTTTTATTATGCAATACTAAATTCCAATTAAACTGCATATTAATATAAACCACAGTTTGGGAAAACAAATGGTCTGCATGGAATTATATTTCTTTGTTGATTTATATCAAATAATTTGGTGTATATTTATTTTTTTCTAAATAAACATGAACCACGAATTATAATTATATAAATAGATATTAAAATGTCAATAAAACCATAGCTTCCGCTGAATATTGACAATATTTTTCATGAATATTTAGAATACTTCATAAAGTTTTTTTTTCCCCAAGTCCAAAGTTTAGTTGACAAACCACTCGAGTATGTAGAGCAATTTGTTGATAATAAAGTTGCTGCTATTGAAATTCATTTTCAAGCATGCTCGCACAACATTCTATTGCTTGTTTTATGGCACACACTTTCACACCCGCAACAAAACCAAATAAACAAAAAAAGGGGGAAAAAAGAGTGTAGCAAACTAACAGCAGGAGAGTGGAAAAACCGAGTTCGGAAAAACAGCCTTCAGGCAACCAAAACTAGGTGAAATCAATATCCTCAACTCATTTTGCTTGGCCTCCTGGCAGCCGCATTGTCGTCGTAGCCCCCAGACTCTTAGACTTTTCTCCCCTTGTGCTGCAAAAAAAAAAGAAATAGAAGAAAAACCCTTTCATTTCCTGCCCGCCAAACAATGCTACTTGTGTTCGATAAAAGATGCTGCTACAGAAAAAAATAACGAAAAATAGAAAATCTAGTTCATTTCGTTTTATGGCAGTTGGTAGCAAAATTTCATTTCGTTGAGCTTCAAGTTTAGTGTCGCCCTTTGTTACATTTCAAGTATATGTTGAAAAGCAGAGAACTCTGGTCAAAAATCTTGAATTAAAAAGGGGTTTATTTATGTTCTAAAAGAAAGGTTTATCTCATTCTTTAATAAATTGTGTATAAATATATTAATTACTTATTGAGAAACTTAAGCACTTTGCTACCAAATAATATAAATATAAAGCTTCCTGGCAAAAACTTCATTAAAACTATTTCTCTTTTAAAAATTGATTGTGCTTCTCTTTTTATTTTCAGCTTTTTATCGATTTAATAAATTGCTCGGTCGCTGGGACGGCGTGTGTATGTCTTCGGTTTAAGGTTCATTGGGCCCAGTGTTTGGAAAAATGTTTCGTCGGTCCGTCGGAGTTATCCAGGTGACACAGTTACGGTCACGTAAGTTTTTCGTTTTCTATCATTATTTTTTCGACATTTTGCACTTTATGGCCCAGGCTGCTGGTTCCTTCCAACTCCTAAATGGAACCTCTGTCCCTGTCCTCCATGTTTTCAGGTGTAGAGTGCATTTT